TGAGACAAAAAATTCCATTTCCCAGAAAGCATTCTCAATGTACTTGCTCCCAATGTACCTGTTCATATCCAACACACAGCATTTACCTCTCTCTCTTACTGTGGGTGAACCTTGCCTTGTTGTTTGCCCCATCAGACTGTAAGCTTCTAGGGCGCAGGGAAAAAAAATGCATCATTCAGTTTAACCACAGTGTAGTTTCCTAGCTGGAAAGTTGTTAATTGAATAAAAGAATAAATCTTTTTATTAATATGACAGATAAGAGAAAAAGATTGGATTGTAGGAATTGGGTTAGCTACAACACAGTGTGGAGATGTCTCAGAAACTTAAGCATCTATTTTATTAACATGATATACTTTAAAACCCTGAATCTATTTTTTTCTGAATTAAGTACTTTTTTGTATTTTTCTCGGAGTTCCTGACTCATAACATGTATGTGATAAACTTGCAGCAGAGCTATCTCGAACCAGAACCTGGATAAACTTGTGTGTAATCATAGAAAATACCCTAGAGTATGGTGACTTCTGAAGCAAACACTAAAGTCACCAGAGAAGTAGGTGGTTGAAGGGAACTATTGTCTGGAAGTTAAATAACCTGCCTGTGTGGAGACCTTTCCCCTGAGATGGTGGCTACTGGAAGCCAGAGACAGACCTTTCAACAAGATTAAAGAGATGCTATTAATTGCTATCGATCATGGGTCAACAAATTAAATTGCATCTGCAACTGCATCTCTGAAAGGTCTGAATGAGAAATGCAGTTAATGGGTCTGGCTGACCCAATGTTGTGATTAATTAAAAAGGGAATGCAACCAAAAAACAAATAAAGGCAAAGAAATATATAATGGGAGAAGGGTGGACAACCTTAAAAATCTCAAGTCAAAAGCCTTTCCCAGGACCTAAGTTGTTCTTTAACTCTATATATCCTGGGGGGGAAAAACAAACAAAAAACAGAGAAGGCCAGAGTGAACAGCTAAATAAGTATTTTTTTGAATTTCTGGAATTCTCGTGAGCAACAATATGAAAAACCAACATTTTAGATTCTGAAGGGGCAAGTGAGGAAAGAGGTGTTGGAAACTTATAAGCAGTTTGTGTCACAGTATGCAGATAAATTGTTTCACTATGGTGTGAGATTAATATTTGCCACATACCAATGAATGAATTCTGTTACTCTCAGCATTCCAAATTTGACCTCCATTTCAAAAATACCTTGAAAAAAATGACTAGTGGTAAACTTTGTTGATTCAAATTGTAATTATTCAAACTGAGATACAAATAATGTTGGTAAATAGTAAAAGGGTGGGCTGCCCCAAAGACTACTTTATCTGAGGTTGACTCGGAATATCTGATACATTGCCAGCATCTTCAGCATAAGGTCCTAAAATGATATCATGAGCCACCCTTAGGTAGGTTGCATATTTTTGGTGGTGGTTTTATTAGCATCAATGTCCTTCTAATCACGTGGGTAGAAAATGTGGCCGTTTTAATTCTTGAACCCCCATTTGATCCTCCATAAAGTCCTGTTGTTCCAGCTGGTCTGTTTGAGTCTTGCCACTTCCAGAACAGATCTTCATTCTTTTTCCTGGTCTTCTGTGATTACCTCTCTCAGTGTCTCCACCTTTCTCTCCCTAGGCCCCAAAGCATCCTTCACTCTGCTATCAGATTTGTTGTTAAGATACAAATATGTTATTTGATGTCGATTAATCAATAGTGTATCAACCAAAACCAAGTCTGATTTTCTTGGCATAATCTTCCAGGTCTTAACAATTGAGTTTCCTTCCCAGACAAAATCTCCCTGTATGCCCCCATCTAATCTGTGTGCCTTACACTCTAATCACACCTGACTGCATCTCACGCTCCAAATATGCTGTACTGTATTCATTTTTTGTTGCTCTATAATATCATTCTCTTAAATACCTGCCCAACTTGTATCTAACTGACAAGATCCAAATCCAATATCACCTTATCCATGAGATTGCTTTTCTGATACTATACGTCTTAGTAATGATAGCTTCTTGTGCTAGGCCCTATTCTAAACTATGTTATGGGTAGTATTCTGTTTAATGCTCACAACCCTCTAATATAAAAGCTGGTTCTGCCTCTGGCTAATCATGGAAGCCTGAGAAAGCCAAAAACCTTCTCTGAGCTTCAGTGTTCCAGTGTGCAAAATGGGATTACTAGTTCATAATTTCATGGTGGTTAGGAGGATGGTTGATTAATGAATGCAAATTATGGTCTTGTTTAAGGTAACCAGTACAGTGTGTGACACTCAGAAGGGGCTCAAGAAATGTTCTCTGAACTTTATATCCTTTATATCCAAATTCCTCCCCAACCCTACCCACCTTACATAATTATTTAGGAGGTTTTAAAAATAAAACTTTAACTTAAAAGTATAGTTTTTTGAAAGTATCCCTACTCAAAACCAGGCTGTAATGTCAGTACTGGCATCATTGAAACTAGATTCTGGGTTTCAAAGAATTAGGAGTTCAAGATTTTAAAAAATTAAGAAAGAAAGCTGTTGTATCATTACAACATCTTTGGAATGTTTGGAATATTCCAAAAATATTTGGAATATTTTCAGTTGTAATGATAAAGCAAATTTTGACTTTCTAAAATTAAGTGAAAGACATTTATTCAACTCAATCTATTTAACTCTTTATGAACAGTACTATGGCACTAGCTGTGTTTTGTTTGATCAAAAGAACAATATGCCCTCTAGGTATGCAATGTTGATTAGGAAGAATCAAGCATTCATACTAGACAGTACAGTCTGAGTATCCCTGATAATGGTGTCACCCCAATTTAAGGTGTAAATCCCTTATGAATTTGATGAACAGGTATAGGTGAGGTTGCTGGCTTAGAGATAGCATTTTGTCTTTCAAAATCATGAAATGTCTTTCTTTAACAGAGTAATATTCCCAACATAAAACCTAAAGTAACAACAAACCCCGGACTCTGTCCCAGTTCATAGCTTTCTCTTCCATACTTTGAGGTGTCCTCTCCATGAGGCTTGAATCTGAATTGAACTGTGAACAGTCTTGTACAATGGACATAGAGAGTAGAGAATTTCTCTCTACTTTGACATGCAAGGAAGTCTAATCTTATTTTAAGAAAACGTTAGTGGAGTAGGGGTATGTATTGTTGCGTGTGGGGATGCCATGCTGATGTTTTCATAGTGGTTGCCCTTGTTTTTCTTCCTCCAACAATGCAGAAGATGATGGGAATTCATGAAATATTGTTCAGTTTTGCTCTGCATTAAGCAATTTGTTTGTCTCAAGGAGAAGAAAAATAACAGTTTACTCTTACTCTGTAAGGAAAGCTTACACACACATCAAAGGCACTGTCTCTTGTGTGCTGGTCATCAGCAACAATTCTTGCTCTGGGGCTTTTTGACCCTTGCAGGTCAATTGGTAGAAAGCCTCTTGCCCTGCTGTTTCCCTGCTCAGAGTCTAGAAAGAACTTTAACATGCAGCTTTAAGAAACACAAATCCTCAAATAACAACAATAAACTCAGGACTCTGTAGGAATTCCTAGCTGAACTTAGGAGGGAAAACAACCACATCAATGTTACAGACAGTTTGAATCATGCAAACATTTATTCCCCTTCATGTTTTAGAAAATCTAAGAAATTCAAATATGGATTAAATATTAAATGATATCAAGGATTTATTAATTTTGTTAGGTTTAATATAATGTATAACAATATGGTTTTGTAAGAAAATGTCACTTTTCTAAAAGGAGATGATTGCTGCGTGTTGTGGGGGTAAAGTGATATGATGCTTGATACTTGCTTTAAAAAAACTTACGAGAGGTTGGGCACAGTGACTCACACTTGTAATCCCAGAACTTTTGGAGGCCACAGCAAACAGATTTCTTGAGCCCAGGAGTTTGAGATCACCCTGGGCAACATGGTGAAACACTGTCTCTACCAAAAAAAAAAAAAAAAAAAAAAGACACAAAGCTAGCCAGGCATGGTGTATCTATAATCATAGCTACACGAGAGGCTGAGGTGGGAGGATCACCTGAGCTGGGAAGGTCAAGGCTGCCGTGAGCTGTAATTGTACCACTGCACTCCAGCCTGTGTGACTGTGTGAGACCCTGTCTCAAAAAAAAAAAGACTTAAGGGGGATAAAGAAAAAATGAAGTATTATATGGAGCTAATATGTTAAGTGAAATAAGTCAGACCCAGAATGAAAAATACTGCATCATTTCACTTTTATATGCAAGCTTATTAGATTTTTGATTTGTGATTTAGGAATAACATTACCTCTTTAAAGGAGTTACATGAGAATTAAATGTGATGAAATAAGTAAATTTCAAGTCACAGTCTCTGGCATATAAGTGTTAAATGAACGGTAGGTAGTAGCACTGGTTATTTAATAAACATTTGTTGGATTGTTTAAAAAAAATCCACAAAATCTTGATCACAGTTGAATCTGGGCAATGGGTAAATGGAGGCTCCTTATACTGTTTTCTTGATTTTTATGTATGTTTGACAACTTTTATAATAAAGAATTCCTACTTAGCTACTTACTAGCCTGTGACTTTGGGAAAGCATTTAGCCTCTTTATATTCTGGTTTCCTCAAGAACAAAGCAGAGATGACAAGAGTTCCTCTCTCACAGGTGTTCTGTATGGACTGGACACAATTCTGTGGGCCCAGAGCTTAGCACAGGGCCTCGCTCTGAGCCAGCACTCAATAATTATAGATTATCATTAGCATAGTATATGGATCTGGGGTCAGGAAAAGGCTTTTCCTATCGCTTTTGCTTTCACTGCTGGCTTATTTGAGCTTCCTCTCAGATCCCCAAGTCAGCAATGCCTTGCATTATGAAAAATGAAAATGTATGCAGGCAATGCAAAAGCTAATGCTTCATTCTAATTGAATACAGCTCTAATGACACATGTACTTTCAGATGATAGAAGTAACCGAGAATTAGTCATTAAATAATGACGGTGGGGAGAAGGGAGAAATTTGGGAAGGAAAATATACCACAAACAATGTTTGCTGGTTAACACACTTTATATTTAACAAAATAATTTTTTAATAATATATTCTTTTACACATCAAATATTGTTGCTAGAATCCCCTTTTTACAGTTTAGTGTTTAGGTTTTTTTTTTTTTTTCTCACTAGTTTTCAGGCACACCATTTTTCAAAGATTTTTAGAAACTGAATTGTTTTTAATAGGCATCAGCTGACAAACAAGATGTTGATCCCTTATTTAAACATAGCTGTCGTTAAAGCCGAGAACCAAAGGCAGAGGAGAAATCGGAGTACAGAGGTGACCGTGTGGCTGCAAACACAGCCTTCACAAGAAACAAACAGCAGATGAGACCAGAACTCTGTTGTTCAGAGTCTAGAAAGAATTTCTCAATGACCTGGGTAGAAGGAAGTTGTAAAATGTTTATCGGTTTATGAGAAATTGTCACAGTATAGGTGCATCTCTCCCTAAAGGGGGAAAAATGTCAGTGCTACAGCATCTTAAAGGAAACAGCTTGTAGTGAAACTTTGAGGGAAAAAAAAGTCCAGCAACAAAACCATTAGTAAAAACCCCTCTCTCTCTAGCTGGTAACAGAGGCCACAGAGCAGCCTGCTTTCTGCAAACTCTCTGAAGAGAGATCCTTAATGGATGTCCCATTCCATTCTAGTAAATTCTTGCTGTGACTCTCACTGTGCCAGTACTTTGATGCAAAATTTCTGCACTTCAACTTCCCAGTTGCACTCTCTTTCTGTTTTTCTATAAAGGACATAGTAACTCCTTAATAATAGATAAGGTACTATGCTGCATGGCTCTATTAATGATATTTTCTGAGTTTCAAACCTTATTCCTGTCATGTATTGTTATTATTCTTTCTTTCCAAGACTGTGGATTTTTGAAGCTGGCAACAGGCAACCTCAGGGCAAAGAAAGCTCTATAATACGTCTCTGTCTAGACACAAGCTGAAGTGTGGAATGCCTTTACTTTTGAGTGCAGACATAAATCATGCAGCATTGCTCATGAATGATTCATGACTGTCTGTATGATGTATCCATGGTGGCAACTGAAAGGCACCAACCCTTGCTGCAAATTGGTGTTGTAAGGGAAGGTGGCTTGATGTTCTTCCTCGGGATGGTGCTGGCATGGCTATTTGTATCATAACACAAGCACAGTGTGCGTAAAAGTGTCAGGTCTGACTCGTCGGCACATTAATTTTGGAAATGATAACTCTTTCCTGATGACGGGAGATGCTTCCAGGGAGGATAGGCTGACAATTTTAAATGAAAAAGCAGTTGACAAGACTCAAAAAATGTTTCCTGAGGGCAGGCCTGTAGCATTAGAAGCCCCACTCTCTGTGGAGAAGACTGACCCCTTGGGAATGGTGACTCTGTGTGTCCCAAAGGGATCAGAAGCTCACACAAGCCACAAGTGCTGCTAGAACTTGCCTAGTGTGTCCCCAGGCAGAAACTATTCTATTACTGATTATTCTAGACCACTGGTTTTAAACCAGGTGAAATTACGTCCCTCACTCCCACCCCTTAGGGACATCAGGCAATGTCTGGAGACATTTGGTTGTCACCAGCCACTGGAACGTTGTTGCTACTGGCACCTAGTGGATAGAGGCCAGAGATGCTGCTGAACATTCTAAAACACAACAGATAATATCTGGCCCCAAATGTCAATACTACTCAGATTGAGACGCCTTGCTCTAGAATATGGCACTCCACAGGAGCTATGGCAAAGCCCAGGTTGGGGGAGCAGAAAAAGAAAGAACGTTGATAATGAAGACAACCTTAAAGTCTCTTCAAGGACCCCATCAAATCTGCACCAGGGTTTTTAGGACAGGTGTGTGGAATAAGCGACTAACTACGCCATGTGGTTTCAGAATCGTTAATTTTGCACTTGAATCGAGGTGGCATCAGATACCCTGTGTATTTCGTTTTCTCTGTGATTATACTAGCAGCATTACCAGGGCAACCTGGAGACTCTTCAAAGGTTCACTTTAATTGTTCAGTATCTAATATATACATTTTAAAAAAATGTTCAACAAATGGAATTGTTTGTGCAAGACTCACTCTACCCTAATCTTTAATTGAAATCAGCACTTGAGGTGGAAAGAGTGTCCTGAATCTGTGTTTTAGACGTAGGGCTAAGTAGTTGTTCCTACAACATGGGAAACAGTCCCAAACCACAAAACTGTCATTGTGGACTATTGGCTTTTAGCCAAATCTGAACTCAAAAGCCAGAAATGTTCAGAAGGATTCAGATTCACAGTGGGGTTTCTCACCCTGGTTCTGGTGTGGATATTGCCCGGTGATAGAGTGAGTTTAGAGTGTGTTTAGTTACAAACCAAACTCAAATTTCACATCATGAAAAAGTCTGGTGATTAATGCTACAATTTTAAAGATCTCTCTTTGGATGCTTGAGTTAAGCTCATGGTATTCTTTACATAACAGATTTTGATTGGCAGTTTAGAGGTTTTGCATATAAAATGTGTGGTTTGTAAGAATTAAATTGTGAGCCCTCACATAATGGGTAGAGTACTTGTTCCCAACCCTGTCCAGCGATAGGTCCATCTATGTGCCCATCTCTCTTTCCTTAATCTACAGGGCATGATTCGCCCTAGGGGAGAAGTTGGGTGGTCTTGTATCTCCCAGCTCGGGAAAGATCCGTTCCCCTGACATTCCTTTAGCAAACCCTTTAACACAACTCAAAACTTTACAGTGTAGTCAAATCTAGCTCCTTAGACTCTAAAAGTGAAGAAACAAATACTACAGGAGAAAAATGTCATGTACGATGTACAGAAGAGTAAAAATGAAGTAAACCAGGGAACAGTGAGCTGGTAGGTCAGAGGCATCACCAGGGGAGGAACCTGTGCAAGGCTGTTTCTTTCCTTTTGTTCCAGAAATCCGGTCGTCAAGTCACCATCAAGCATTGGTAAATACAAAAGCAATTTAGATAGCTATATACTCTATATATTTTATACAGCAAGAGAGAAAGAGAGAAATTTCCTCTTAGCAAAATATTCACTTTTATCAACCCTAGAAGGTTTTGCTGGTGACCCTGTTGTAGCTGGCAGGAGTTTGTTTGTTTTGTGTTGTGTTAAACATGTGCAGTGTAGAAGCCATAGCATCCTTTCCTAAGAACTCGTCATTGGTTGGAAGTTTTTCCTACACAGTCTGCTTGCCTTGGCATTCACGTTTTGAACACTGAGCAGGCTTCCACCAGTCCCCGTTGTGACAGTGACAGATGTTACATTCGTCCACTTTCACTTCAATGCCAGCTGGAATTATTGTAGTTCCTGCAAAGCAGTTTGGACCTGGAACACACAGATACATTGATTAGTTGATTAAATCTGTGAGGCTCCCTTTCTCCCCACCATCCAAACCCAAGCGCCCATGCCGCGAATGAGTAGGTCAGACTACTCTAATGAGTTATCATCAAGGAATTTTCTAGCCATCTCCTTTAAATTCAAACATTCAACTCTGCCACCTTTTGTGCACAGCTCATATTTCCCACGTATATCATGAACTTAAAAGAGACAATCTTCCAAAAAAAATCATATTGTCTGCTTCCTGAGTACACACAGTTTAGGTTCTGTGGATTAAACTCTATCCGTTTTCTCCTCTGGGATGTAAAGGCTGCCAGTGTATGCTCTGAAACACAAGGGGAGGACTGACATGGTCTGCATCAGATGGTGGCACCCGTGGCCTGTCCTCTCCCTTTGGGTGGTGGGTATGAGACAATAAACTCGCTCGTTCCCCAGCTTCAGTGCCTCTCCAGCCCAGTTCCTGGAATCCAGAGCTTGTTTCTTGATAACAATGAATAATTCATGACCAGATGATTTATTCATGTCCTGAACAAGCTTTGTTAGAGGTTCATTTGATTTTTATAAATGGACTTCCTTTAATCTGCTGGCTATCTTTTTTTTTTGAAGAATGACCCAAAATGGTTGGCTTTTGAAAATCAGCAGGAATTTTACTTTTTCACATTCAAAAGCCTTATTGAAAGTGTCCCCTGCTCATCATAAATGAATGTTTTAAAAATTGCCAATTTCAGGTTTTTAAGAATTTCTTGGCTGTTTTCTTTCTCTCCTTTCTCTTACTTTCCCCTTATTTTTTTCCTTTTTTTTTTTTTTTGACCTTCCCAATGTAGAAATATCACTGTTCAGTGTTAGTTGTTGTTAGTACATTTCCCAAATTCAAATGGAATAAAAATTGCTTCCCAAAGTGCAGTGGATTCTAGTAGGGTGGTACAAATTGCTCTTTCTTTGAAGCTATTTGATATTAAGTCTCTGAAGTACACATTTGCGTAAAGAGAGAGAAAACGTTGAGTTGTGTCTACCAGTGATTTATTAATCCAGCATTACCGGCCACTCACCATAACCACTACAAAGTAACATGGCAATGTATATCAATATCAGTGCCCTACTTTCACTCTCCTACCCTTGATAAGCAAGACTGTCTTTACCATCAAATAAATGAAATCTGGGGTTATGTGTAGTTCCGCTTCATAATTGGAGTCTTGCATTTATAAAACTGTAATTAAGTTACAATGTATACTTATCAACACAAAGCTATTTGATTTGTTATGGCTTTACTTGCCCATTGTTTCAGAGCTCCCAGACCTCACTAGTGCATACACTTACCAATGGTGATGGCGTCCCTATGCCTTTCTTCACTTTGTAACACAAATATATGGGGCATGTGCTCAAGCATGAGGAGCCATGAAGAGCAGGAGGGAAATAAGGTCAACTGACAATTTAACAGCCAGCAAGCTGTCAGCCTTCACCCAGGAGGGTGCCTGTCCTTTTTTTTTTGGAGATGAGTCTCATTCTGCCACTCAGGCTGGAGTGCAGTGGTGCGAACTTGGCTCACTGCAACCTCCGCCTCTGGGGTTCAAGAGATTCCCCTGTCTCAGCCTCCCAAGTAGCTGCTACTACGGGCATGCACCACCATGCCTGGATAATTTTTTGTATTTTTAGTAGAGACGAGGTTTCACCATGTTGGCCAGACTGGTCTCGAACTCCTGACCTCAGGTGATCCACCCATCTGGGCCTCCCAAAGTGCTCGGATTACAGGCATGAGTCACTATTCCTGGACTTCCTGTTCTGATTCTGTGATTCTAAGCCGCTGGCCATCCTGACTGCTATTTATTTAAGAACTATAATATTAATTCTATAGGTCTTGGGATTTAATTCATTGTTTGATAGATTGGACTGCCTTTGGGTCTACACATCCCTGGGAAAATTCAATACCAAACCATGAATTTGTTCTGGATTCAGAACTGAGGGAGTCTTCAGAGAACTTGGCAGAGAGGTTTTTCCAGAATGTAGCTTGTTCTCCTGTGACCATTGTTGACAGACCTCTCTCAACCCAGCCAGTTCTAGGGTCTTGCCAGGCCAGCCTAGCTTTAGAAATCACACTAGAGTCAACTAGCACCTGTTTGCCTGGAGTCAGCCCAGAGGAGGCAATGGTTCCTTCTGCCACTTGTCCCCTGTAACAAAGTCCTTTTACCCAAATTGAACACTTGTAACTTTTCCAGATGGGAAAAGGAAAAAAAAATCTAAATAATGGTTTTAAAAGAAGTCCCTGAACCAGGCAAGATATTATCCAGTAAGAGTTTTCCCAGCTTCTTGAGAGAATTTGGATATTCAACAGTCAGGAAAATCTTAACTTTGTGAGCATATGTGTGCATGTGTCTGTGTGTGTGTGTGTGTGTGTGTGTGTGTGTGTGTGTAGAGACATGCTACTTTTTCACAGGAGGCTGGATAATCTCAGTGGCATAATAAGAAAAACAGGCAGGGAGGAATCTTTGTGAAAAGAGAGTTCTTACAAATCTCTCTATCTCTATGCATATCCTGAAAGGATATTTTACTAGAGCTCTGGTTTTCATATCCGCCCCTTTCTGCATATGCTGGTGTCATACCATGGTCAGTGTGTATTTGACTAACCACTATACATCATTTCTTAAGAGTCATTTAGAATTTGCAGCACTCTCAGCTCAAGAAATATGAATGACTGTATATTGATTGACAGAACGCAAAGAAAGACCCTTTACATGTGCCAGGCCTAACCAAAGGGGCTTCTTGTAATTATATGGTAAGCTCTCAACTGTATCTGATGGCCAGAGGTATTTTGCAGAATCAAAAATTTCTGTTTGATCTCATTAGCTTTAGTAGTACAGTGAATTTTTATTAGTGCCCGTCTGAGAATCTTAGGTGTAACTACAGAAGTCTCAGGTTTGCTGTTAATAGTCTTATCTGCTTAAAAGTAATTTAGATAATTGTCAAGCAGAATGGTTGGCATTATTTAAAAACTGTTCTGATTTTAGCCCTTCTTCCTTAATAGTGGTGACAGTAAATGAGCATTTGCTTTGAGCATATGAGAGCCTAACACGAGTTCTTTGCATAGGAACTCTATCCTCTGTCTACCGTCTACTTGTATTTTGGGACTGCTTTCTTTTTGTCTCAGTCTAAATAAGTTTCTCAGGAGAGTGAATCCAATGGCAAAGCAACATATTTTAATGCAGAGGATTTGGAGAGACTCCAGAGGGGAAAATGAAAATGATTAAACTAAAGGCTGGCAAATAGGACCTCTGAGAAAAGGTTAAGGGGATTGGAATTATTTAATCTAGAAAGAGAAGATGGAGGAATAACTCAGTAACTCTCAAAGAATGAAGGCTTATTATGTAAAATATGGCGACCAATTGTTCTGGGGCCTAGAATAAGAGGAAATGGAGACATATTGATTCTCAATGAATTGAACACACTTACACACGTGAATTCTTCAGAGGAATGAGAACTGAATGTCGTAGTTGCCAACAATGTGGTGAGGTCTTCTCTCTTACTGATCTTTAAGAATATAGGAGGTAGGCCGGTTATGGTGGCTCATACCTGTAATCCCAGAACTTTAGGAGGCTGAGGCAGGAGGATCGCTTGAGCCCAGGAGTTCCAGACCAGCCTGGTCAACACAGTAAGACCTTGTCTCTACCAGAAACAGAAAGCCAGGAGTGGTGGTGTACACCTGTTGTCCCAGATACTGGGGAGGCCGAGTGAGGAGGATGGCTTGAGCCAAGGAGGTTGAGGCTGCAGTGAGCTGAGAGAGTGCCACAGCACTCCAGCCTGGGCAAGAGGCAGGGGTGTGGGGTCGGGGGAAGGCAAGAGGGAGGGAATATATAGGAAGTCTTATCCGTCAGGTATGGTTTAAGTTGTCAGGTATTTGAAGACAGGAACTAAAGGTTTGTTATTTCTTGTGGTCCAGATCTAATACTGTGTCTGGCAAATATTAGGAAAGTATAGGGTTGTTTAACTGAATGAAATAATATAAACTAGCTAGTTATATATTGGAAGTGAACTTATTTTCCAAACTTATGAATCAGGCTTTATCTATATGTCAGGCCTACCTAACATTAGTATTAAATGTATAGGAGTATTTGCTAATGAATGAAAACAAATGGTGATAATTTTTTGAACATTTACTCCAGACCAGGAGTTTGTCTCATTTAATTATTATAACAAACTATATAAATTGCATGTTCTTACCTTCAGGACACTGAACCTCACCGTTAAAAAGTAACTTGCCTGAAATCACACATCCAGGAAGTGGCATCAATGGGATATGAATTCAAATCTCTCTGAACTACAGGATGCTTCTAATTGCCCGGGAAAAGAAGCAAGTAGCTAGGAGTGCATTACCATGTTCCTTTGCCCAGATCCTGAGCTTCTGATCAGAGTTTAGAAGTTGGTTTTTGTGTAGAGAATGCATACTGAGGCAAGAAATTTGATGTGGCTAGAAACACGTGAGACACTTTTTCTGTAGGTGTTTATCAGATTTACTGGTTTTATATTGTGTATTCATACAGTCTTCAGGAAACATAATTTATTTTAGAAACTGAGGGAAATTTCTCATGGAGAAGATCCTTGGGAAGTTAGGCTTTCCTATTGAGAGCAATGAAGTTCTCACTGGGACTGAATGCAGACCAACCAAAAGCAGAATCAAAGTGGCCCCTAACTTAGGAGGCCTGGCTCAAGTTGAGGTTCTATGGCAGGATCAGCTCAAGTGCTCTGTTACCCCCAAACAAGGCATGGTGGCCTATGTGGTCTAGTCTCAGAGAGGATTCATATTTTTGAAAATGTGATAAAAATAGAAATGAAATTTTTTTTACTGGAAATTGGAGCTAGGAGCAAAGAGGAAAAGGTAGGAATAATCACACATGAAAACATTTTTTTTCGTGAAATACATAAATAATTTTCCCTGCCAGGCATGGTATCTCATGCCTGTAATCCTGGCACTTTGAGAGGTCAAGGTGGGTGGATTG